AACAAGAGACCTGGGCTTTTAGAAAGAAGCAACCTACCTCAGCAGATAAGGGGGCAAGTCTGGGGCTGGAGAGCGGGCAAGGCCCCCGTCACAGACCATTTCCATAAAAGCCTTTACAGCGGCAGGGCCTTCGGAGGGATGCAGTCAAGGAAGAAAGATGACTATCAGGTTGGCAAACATTTCAGAGTCATACACGCCACCAGTGGCAAGGGTGCCAGGAAACTTGTATGCACTGTTGATATCTTCTAAATTGTATCAAAAGCATGCACTCTGATTTAACAACAACAACTTCTGTCTTTAGGACAAATTTCTTGACCAAGAAAAATACAAAAGAGATATATGCCTATAGAGGTTCACTATGGTGTTTAATTGTGAAAAATTACAATCTAACTGCTGTTGGCAACAGACTGATTAAGTAAATTATAATACATAATATGGTACCATGTAGCCATTAAAAGTGATGGAGATTTATATACTTTACTGTGTAAAGAATTCCTATGACTAATCAGTGAAAAAAGGTTCCAGAGTAGTACCGTAAAACAACATTTATGTACGATTATGTGAATGTGCCTATAGAAGAAGGTCCGAAATAATGTTTCTACTATAACAGATGATTACAACTCAGTGAGATTTCTGGTAATTGTTTCCTTTCTTGTACTTTTCTACATTAATTCTTTTTTAAAAATATTGAATACATGTTTTTACCATAAAAAAAAGCCATTTTTGTTTTAAGAAAGATAGGTCCAAAATATATTTTTCTGTTATATATATATATATATATATACACACACACACACACACACACACACACACACAAATACCTCTTATCCCATGGTAAAAAGGGTAAACAAACCAAAAACCTCCTTTCATTTATAAGTTAAGTTAATTTTAAAATTTAAATCTCTGGACAATTTAAAGTATTTCCCAATAACTAAGAACATTTTCATTCATAGTTTTATTACTAGTTGAGGGCAACAACTATAAATTATCTGTAAATTCTAACTACACTGATTATCATGAACATGTTATACAGAAACCACAGTAAACGTTAGCAATGGGTGATTCTGACCAGTACTTTGAGACTATAACCTCACTTCAAACAAATTTAAAACATGGGTCCATGAAAGTCATAAAGCTTCCAATAGTATCCATCGGGAGTTATTTATATACCTATTGTTCTTCCTTCTAAGGGGACGAAAAAAAGATAAAAGTCTAACTATATGCTCAACTTCTTCAGAATTCCTTTCAAGTATGAATACCTACTATAATAAGAGGTAAAACAGTTAACAAATCTTTGCTCTTGAGTAACAAGCAAGTTAACTGTAGGTGGCATGGCTTTTTCTTTTGATAACTGGGGAATTACCAGTTGGTACCACTAAGGTACCAACTAGCTAAAGAGCACTGACCTCGATTCTCTAAGCGTAACAAGTCTGTCCTGGTGAAGCCATCTATCAGTGCCTGGTGGCTCTCACCGGCCTCAACGTGCCAGTCTCCTAGGACCATGAACCCATACTCAGTGTTCATTCTTTTCACAATTAAGTTACTGTGATAAAATCAATGCTGCCTCAATCATAATCCTATATAATAAAAGCCTAATATGCTAAGTGTCTAGTCATTCATTCAACCAATTAAAGCATAATATGCTAATGATATGCTAAGGATGCTCAACCACTCACTATGACATGCACTGACCACCAGAGGGCAGACAGTTGACTGGTCGACCAGTCACTATGATGTGCACTGACCACCAGAGGGTAGACGCTCTGACTGGTAGGCTAGCTTGCTGCTGGGGTCTGGCCAATGGGGACTGAGCGAGACGGGCCGGATACACCCTGGAGCCCTCCCGTAGTCCCTCCCTGGCTGGTCAACCTTCCGAGTCCTACCCTGGCCCTGATTGTGCGCCAGTGGGGTCCCTTGGCCTGGCTTGCACCCTCTCGCAATTTGGGACCCCTCGGGGATGTTGGAAAGCTGGTTTCAGCCCAATCCCACAGGCCAGGCCAAGGGACCCCACTGGTGCACAAATTCGTGCACCGGGCCTCTAGTCAGATGATAAAATACTATAATTCAAAGTAACTGCTGAACCCATACTGAGCAGTCAGTCCGTACTTGTGGCCAACGGCTGGTCAGTGGGGTGGAGGGAGGGTCCCATCTTAAATCTGGGTGCACTTATCTGCTTCAGTCTGCTGACAAAGTAGCTTCTACTAGCCCTCCTTTTCTGAAACCTCTGATTAAATGATATATCACTGTATAAAATACAAATTTATATTAACATTTGATATATTATACATATTCTATATGAAGTGATGAATAAACAAAAAAGATTTCTAAGATGCTGAAGGGCTTCACTTTAAGCATTGTCATGTTCCCTTTCAGGCCAGCAGATGTTGCTGTGACTTCAAATAGGGAATGTAAGCTGCTCTGGGTCAGCCATTAGATGGCACCCCTTTTATAAAACTGGGTTTACAGTGGAGACTTAATACAACTGAAGCAGCAACCAACAAGCATTTGACACTGGAACTGACTCTGATCTAGAGCAATCGTCTCAGTTATTTACTGAGTGCACAGACTGTTTTCCTTAGTCGCAGAAAGATGGTATTTCCCAATAAGACAGTAAATAGTGAGAAAAGTTCATCAACGGACTTTTTTGTGAGCAGCCTCACAGTTCTCATCAAAACTCTCTAAATGCAGACCTGAAATGCACCCCTTCGCTCTCCACAAGCCTCAGGGCAGAGCCATCTGGTAAGAATGTGTGTAGAAAGTTTTAAAGCCTAAGCCGTCCATAATAAGTCTATTGGGGAGTCCTGTCTTAGCACAGAGCCTGGCTCCGGGGAGGCCCACAAATGTCTTCCGAATGAACACATCAATATACACAACTGCTCTCAAAGGACGTATCCTTGACAAAGTACCAGTGGTTCACTTTTCTGTGAGACTTTTCAGTAGTAAAAATCAAACAATATGCCCAATGACGAGCATGGAGGAAGGGTGTGTCCTTGCAGCCTCTTTTTAGTTAAAGACATTAAGATGCACTTTAAAAGGATTCCAAGTACCCTTAGATTCAATAGTGCCCATCAGAAACGAGTATTTCTCCCCAAAATATTTAATTTAGGCAATAATCCTCTTATCAGTCCCATAGGACAAAGAAGTTCACATTCTAGACACTAAAATAGCACAGTCTAGCCCAGTGATGGCAAATCTATGACACGCGAACTCATTTTTTTGGTTGATTTTTCTTTGTTAAATCGCATTTAAATATATAAAATAAATATCAAAAATATAAGTCTTTGTTTTACTATGGTTGCAAATATCAAAAAATTTCTATATGTGACACGGCACCAGAGTTAAGTTAGAGTTTTTCAAAATGCTGACACGCCGAGCTCAAAAGGTTTGCCATCACTGGTCTAGCCCATAAAGTCCAAGTTCTCAAGCACATAATCTAATTTAAATAACCTAATTTTGTTGGTCTATGAAAATGTGCCAGCACAGTTACCTTAAAAATAAAGGTTAGTCAGACAAGGAGAAAAGCAACATCTGTTTGTCTACTGGTATGTTTTGAGTGAAAAATACAATAATGCCCATGTTTAGTTATTACTAAGCGAAATGTGAAAAACTCAATAGTGCCAGCACTACTACTACTACTAATCTATTACTCCAGCAATCCTCCCCTCCCATCCCCCTCTAACGGAATCACTCCCATCGGTGTGCAGACATGCTGTTAATTCTCCCAACTTAAAGATAAACACAAACTCTCTTGACCCCAACTCTCCCTTCTATGACCCCACTTTCTTTCCCTTTACAGCAAAACTCAAGACTTGCTTATATGTACTGCCTCCAATCTCTCTCCTCCATGCTCTTTGGGATCCACCCGACTCCGGCTTTACCCATCAATGACTGCCATCTGCTAACTGAGTGAACGACCACATGACTTCTCCCCAGCATACACCCCCCTGAAAGGTTTTCTTTACCTGGCATCCAAGCCACCATTCTCCTGGTTTTCTTACCTCTTCACTAGGGAACTCTCATTTGCTACTTTCCTCTTTCCCCAACCTCTAAAACTTGGGCCTGCCCAAGAGTTCCTTCCGTGGACCTCTCTACATCCACTGCCGTAGTGAGGTCATCTGGTCTTGTAGCTTTAAATACCATCTATTTAAGATACCTATTTGAGATTGATGAGTCTCAAATTTCTGTCTTCACCTTTACGTCTCCCCTGAATTCTAGCCTTTTTATCTAACTGCTTACTTGACTTTCTACTTGGCTATCGCATCTCACATGGACAAGTCCCAGACTGGGCTCCTGACTTAACCCCCAACAACATCTGCTCCTGTCACACTGATCCCCATCCATTTTCCAGTTGCTCAGGCCACAAACCGTGGAGACATCCTTGACTTCACTTTTTCTCTCACCTTTCTCACTCAATCCGTAACAAATCCTTGTTGACTCTACCTTTGAAATATATCCAGAACCTACTTGCATCAACTCCACTGCGGCCACCTGCTCCACACCACCCTCATTCCCTCCTGTCACAGACAGCGTGGTCCACAGATCTTCCTACTGGTAGTGTAATAAGACAACCTTCTGAATGTGTAGCTTCACAGCTTGGAGTCTAAATTACACACACACACACACACACACACACACACACACACAGAGGTTTTTCAGATTTTCTCCCATAATATGTAAGTGCATTAATAATTTAAATGATAATTTTACAATGCTTTAACTATTTTAGAAGAATATTTATATATAAGGATGTCAAACAGCATAGAAAGTTGTTCCAACTTAAATAATTTCACTGAACAAATAGCTAGTACCAATTTATATAGAATGAACATTTCCTATGAATTAGTCATTACTTAATTACATTTGAAGTTTCACCACCCTCAAATATTTAAATTACTTATGTCATTACTAGTAATGAGAAGTTGCCTAGTCATTATAAGAATGTAGTCACCGTGTCTGTCATCACTTCCTAAGACAGTGAACAAACTATAGTGGCTACTTACACTGTGAACTCCTAAAGCTTTCCAGACCGCGAAGCTGATCACACCAACCCCGCACCACGCACACAGGGAGCCCCAGCCCAGGGCTCGCAAGGCCAGGGAAGACCCGCTCTCCGGCAGCGCAGCGGTGGCCATGCTTCCCTGCAATGAAGACAGGAAGGTTGGGGTGAAAATCTCAGTTCAAAAAGAATATTTGGGGAATGTTCGAAATTAATGTAAAAAAAAAAAAAAGCAAACACACACAAAAATACCCCCAAAGAAATTTTAAAAATTTATATAAAACTATAACTTACTTTCCGATGTCCATGAGAATGAACGTTTCCCCAAGTTATGAGCCACCTGTTTATGCCTTTTAAATTGTATACTCATGTTATTTGCCCACAGATTTTCTTATTTGTATCTTCTCTTTATATATTAATGTTCTCCAGCCCTTATATCTGTCATATGTGCTATTCTATTTTCCCAGTTTGGTTTACTTTTCATTCCTTGTATTTTGCTTTTTAGTTTTTGTTTTTGGTCAAAGACGCATTCTGATGCTTTAAAGCTCACTAAAACTTCCCCTATCCTAACGTTAGAGCCATTTCTCTTTTCTGTCAGCTTTATTTTTAAATTGTCTCTTCTTTTCACCACTAACTTTTAAGTTCATCTGGTATTTATTTTGGTTTTGATGGGAGCTGATGACTCAAGGGAGTTTACTTCCCCAAACCTTAGCAACTGCCCCACTCTGTTGATTAATCCTTTTCCTCCCAACTTACTAGAGAATCTTTTATAGAGACAGGTTTATTTCTAAGCTATTTTTGTACCACTAATTTATCATCTATTTTTATGCCAGAATCACACAGATTTAATTATAGAAAAAAAATCTTAATATCCAGAAAGTACATCATACTCATTACTTTTTTCAAAAATTCCATTGCTGCTTTTGCCTATTGATTCTTCCAGAAAAATCCTAGAACATTGTGTCAAGATTTCTCCTATCCCCAAACAAGTAGAGAAAATGCCCATTCATTGGTATTTTCATCAGCTAATTTTCAAGCTAATTAGCTAATCTGATAAACAATAGCAAATTTGTAACATCTCATCTTCCACCTGGAAATGTATTTTCTTTAATTTGTCTTTTTCTTTTTAAAAATGATTTTCTTGATCTTGCTCAACATCATTTCTTAATACAGGCTTTTCTACACATGTATTTTGTGATTGTGAGTGTTACTGACAGCACACAGGAATTATGCTTATGCTAGGCATGTGTACCTGGCACGTGCCTAGACTCTGCAGATACTCAGTATTTGCTGACTTACACTTTTTGTGGATATGCCTTAGCCATTCTCTATGATAAAACAATCTGCTCTCATCTCCCTCCTTTCTCATGTTGCTGTAATCTCAGCATGGTTCCCCGGAGCCCACATAAATGCACAGGTTCTAACTGGCCTGAATTTGCATCCAGAAGCAGTGCCACTAACCAAATATTATTAAACTGGAGTCTGTTTAAGTGCTTTAGCCTAAATTTTATTTCAGAAACTTGAATTTAAAATTCCTTATTTCCCTGGGAAGGACAGAAATTATATATTTATATTTATACACACACACACACACACACACACACACCCATTTGTTTTAGTAAATTAAGTTAAAAGGTAACTGCATATAAAAAGAACCCTTAGTGGCATAGTAATATTCCCAGTAAAATCTTAATTTTGTCAAACTTTTAGATTAAAAAAAATAGTACATGCCATATCAGCCTCAGAAATGGGTTGTGAGGTAAGTTATTCTTAGAAATCAATCCAAACTCCACTATGAAAGCACCACTATCAGTTAGGTTTTACTAATTTCTGCCACAAGATATATTTCCACTCTGAAAATATTCTGTAATATAGGCAGAAATGACCATGAGACTCATAGAAGTAATTTGGGAAGTTCCATATACGCTCTGAGCATTCAGAAGGGGATTCAGATGCACTTTAAATGTGGTTTCTTGCATTATAGTATTCATAAGACTTAAGAATGGTTATTAGGTTATTACAGATGCACAGAAGTGGAAAGGGGTTCAACTGGTTTATGATTTTTTACATGACACGGTTCTTCTAAAGCAGCGGTTCTCAACCTGTGGGTCACGACCCCTTTGGCGGTTGAATGACCCTTTCACAGAGGTCGCCTAAGACCATCCTGCATATCAGATATTTACATGACGATTCATAACAGTAGCAACATTACAGTTATGAAGTAGCAACGAAAATAATTTTATGATTGGGTCACAACATGAGGAACTGTATTTAAAGGGCCAGAAGGTTGAGAACCACTATTAATGTAAAGCAAACATCAACTTGTGAATATTTGTTTAATCTCTCCCCTCTTCTCTCCCTCTCTCTCTTTCTCTCTCTCTCTCTTTCTCTGTCTCTCCTGAGCTAGCTTCCTGAAGGGCAGATGTTTTCTTCATTTTTGTATCTCTTTAGCTAGGTCACCCACTGTGCCCACCACATGAAAGGGCCCGAGTTGCATGTGTTGAAGCAAAAAAGTACTAGATAACCAGGGGAGGGCAGACACAGAGCAAAACATAAGAACAAGTAACTACAAGCAAATGTGAAGAAAATTTCTCATCAACTAGGTCAATGAGCTATACATGACCACGACAGTGATTGCTCAATCTTGCTCTTGGAGTAAGGATTTTCTTCCTTAAGCACGTTATAGTAATTCAACCAAAACTTCCTGAGCACCTACTGTGTGCCAGGCGCTTTTCTAGAGAGGAGGGCTGCAGCAGAGCACAAGCACCTGTGATCTCTCAGTTCAAGGAGCTGACATGTTTCCATCAATGCTAAGATACACTTTATTTCAACATCTTAACATCTCTGAGATAGAAATGCCTCTTGCAATCAGTATTATGTCAAGAGTTTAACTGACATCACTTTTTCTTTCTTAGTGATACATAAAACATTGGGGCCTCTCACAATTGACAGTGAATTACCTAGATTTAGACTAAAGTCATGTTGTGAACAGAAAATGTACTGGATGAGTTTTCAAAATCTTGTTCTGCTAAAAGTGAAGGAAGCACACATTTAAGTGCCTCCTTTTACATGAAAATAAAGACTGTTGATTAATTTGTGCACTTCTTGAAGCTATGAGGTGTACATAGGTTTACTTGTAGAAGCCTTATGAGAGGTCATTGACATTTTATTTTTCCTATGCAAAAGAGCTGCCATTTACTGGTAAACAATAACAATGCTATGAATGGATTTCAGTGTCACAAACCTTATTGAACCACTCAGGGCTTCTCTTTTTAGCCAAAGATAACGTTGTAACGAATCCAGCTAGCATTCCCGCAGCAGCAACAGTACCTAGGAAAAGCCCACCTGCCAAGAGTTTGGGGGTAGGCGTGGAGGATGGGGAGAGAGATAAAAGAAAGGAGGAAAGAAACCAGAGGTTAAAAGGATGTACACAGGTAAATTTCAGCTGCTAATGACATTACATTCAAAGTCACTTTTGAAATTCCAGAAACAATGGTTCAGCAGCTCTTGCCAAAGGTAAATGGCAGGGGCTGTGACACCTGCCTGACCTCATGACCTCTGAGGTCATTGACACATCATCTCCAAGTGCAGGGACCCTTTAGGGGACAAACCCATCTTGAGAACCTCGTGCTAAGCGCAATAAGTCAGGCAGAAAAGTCAAGGACCATATGATTTCATCCATATGTGGGACATAAAACTGAAAGCACAAATGAACAAACAAACAAAAACTCAGAGACAGACAACAGAATGGTGGTTACCAAGAGACGCAGGGAGGGGGAGCACATAATGCAATATACGGATCATGTATTATTAGAAATGTAAACTGAAATATATAATTTTATTATCCAATGTCACCCCAATAATTGCAACGAAAAGGAAAAAATGTTGGTTCTACAGAATTAAAAAAAGAAAAAGGAGGGCAGAGAGAAACTGCAAGGGCATGGGGGGATGCAGCACCAGGAACAGCTCCTGTCCCCCCCACCCCGCCACCTCCCCCGGGTCACCGCACCCCATAACCTCAGGGACAAACCCAGGCGGAGGTCCCCCAGGGCGGGTGGCAGTGGGAGTGCCCGCTGCAGCGCGGGCAGAGCCGGGGTGAGCTCGCCCCGACGCCCGCAGCTCACCACACCCCACCTTTAACCAGGAAGAGCCGGTCTTCGGCGAGTCCCGGAGCCTCCAGCCCGGAGGACCGCTCCCCAGGCTCAGGGCCCGCAGGAGCCATGTTTGTAATGAAGCCTCCACTCCCGGTCCGGCGACACCTGGGCCCGGGGGGAAGCGACAGCAGGCGGGGGAGAAAGGTTCCGCCCCACCGCCCTGTACAACCGGAATATCGGTCCCCAAACCCCCTCGGCCGCCGCCGCCCGGAGGGAAGCAGTGGGGCGGCCCGCGGGGTGCCAGCCCCGCCCCGGGGAAGGCCGGCTCCCGGGGAGGACGGCGGGCCTCCCCCACGGGGCGATCGCTGCACTTTAACGCGGTGCACGGGCAGCAGCCACCAGCACTGGCTGCAGGCGGCGGCGGGGGCCGCAGATGGCGCCGGGAGCCCGCTTCCGGCCGGGTTCGAGCCCGGCACGGGGGTGTGGCCAGCGCTAACATGGCAGATGCTAAGGAGCAGGCCTCAGCCTCTTCTCTGTCACTTTCCTGGGAAATTCCCTAACAGTCGGCACTTTCGGTGTAAGTGACAGGTTCCGTCCTGGGGGAGTCAGCCCACCAGCCCTCGGGTGGTGCGCCTCCGTCCCTAAGGTGTGGACGGCTGGTCCGGCGGAGGGGAGGGGGGGGGGTGGTGACCGGAGCTGATGGGGTGCAGGTCCCACCCCGCGGGAGAGGGGACGCTCAGCCCCGGCGGCCGCAGACAGGCCTGGTCTGCAGGCGGGGAGCGGAACCGCTGACGCTGGCGGGTTCTGTAAATGGCCATGGAGGGGAGGAGTCGCGGAAAACCTTTTCTTCCTCCAACGCAGACACAGAGCATCATCTTTTAAAATGAGTCCATCTGTCACTTCTTCATTCTGAACCAAAAGAAAAAAGTCGTGAACTTCTTGGGGAGGGGAATGGAGATCTTTATTCATTTTCCTATTCCTCGCCTCTCAGTGTATCACCTGGTCGTGCATATTTAAGTAAATATTGGATGAATGAGTAAATGAGCGCATCTTTTTTTTTTTTTTTGCATCAATTAAATGAAATTAATAGCTCAACCCCGGGCTCAGGTCCTAAACCACTGCTCAGCTATGTGAATGTGGTTGGGTTATTTAGGCTCTGTATTCCTCAGTTTCCTCATCTGTAAAATACACTGATAGTACCTACCTCACAGGGTTGCTGAGATTAACTTGCTCAACTCACTTAACTATAAGTGGCAGAGCCAGGATTCAAGAGCAGCTCTGTTAGAGTCCTGGCCCCTGCCCAGTGGTCCTCAAGCTGCATCTTGATCATTGGAATCGCCTGGAAAGGCTGGTTGACCATAGAGGGTGGGGCCTCACTCCCAGAATCTTTGATTCAGTTGGGTTAGGGTGGGGCCTGAGAACTCCCCTGTCTAGTAAGTTGCCAGTGATGCCCAGGCTGCTGAGTCCAGTTGGATGACTTCTCTCGGCGGCATTCTTACAGGGTACACCTCTTAGAATCCACTGTAGCACTCGGAGAGGAAATGCGCAGCCTCCTCCACTCGCCCTGTCTATGCCGTCTCCCCAGAAAGCACGGAAACTTGTTATTTTAAGGATTTTATTGCTATTTACTGAAAGGAACAGAAGAGCGATGATAACATCTTTAAATCTCCGGAGAGTGCAGCATCCTGTACTCTACAGCCTGTCTCTATTTTGAGACAGTAACTACAAACCCTGCTTTTATTCTCGGGGATGCAGCCCACAAATTTCTACCTTCCTTCTAACTCCCCAAAGTAAAGGACAATTTTACTCCTTCCTGCTTTCCCGGAATACAGAGGGTGGAGGAGGCAATTAGAGCAAACCTATGGGTCATCTCTGCCTTAGGTGAGCAATTTGCATTTTGAAGATCCTCCTCAGATGCGAGCAGGAGGGGCTGAGAGCTCCTTGGACAGGGCGCGTAGTGGGAAATTATAACCCCATTCCTCACTTGCCCCAGACTCCTGACACTTGCTGTGTCCCAGGTTCTGGGGGATGGCGATTCCAGGGCCTGGAAAACCTGTGAGGCACAAGGACGGGGAGTGCCTGGCCCTGAGATTAGAACCACATTCCAGACATCCCACATTAGGATGCTTAAAGAAAACATTTTAAAGACGTTACCCCAGGTCTCATATTTCTACAGTGCACACAGTAGGTACATCGGGTGCCATGTGATGATCTGGCCTGCTTTAGGAGCCCCCAAATCCCACGGAGACTGGTTTCTATAGCAAAGTACGCTACAAGCTCCAAACAGGTGACTTGGGAACATGTGGAGCACAGCCTCTACAAGTCAGGGCCGCTGGTTCTGAAACAGTAGCACAAGCATTTCCAAGCATGGAAACCAGTGCTCAGAAAGTTGTGGAACTTCGGTGCTCCATGCAATTTGAGTAGGACTGTCGTTTCAGTGGAAGCATGACCCCCTGTTAGGAAAATGTAATAGAAATTTCTTGCAAGCCAAGGGGGCTGCTGGGAAAGCAAGTTTCTCTGAGACAGACCATGGGGCTATTTTGGTGTTTAGTCAGCTGAAGTCCACACCAGCGATGCATCTGACTACATTCTTATTTCCAACAGTAGAGGCCCAGTGCACGAAATTCGTGCACGGGGATGGGGGAGTCCCTCAGCCCAGCCTGCACCCTCTCCAATCTGGGACCCCTCGGGGGATGTCCGACTGCTGGTTTAGGCCCAATCCTGCTGGCTCCTAACCACTCACCTGCCTGCCTGCCTGATTGCTCCTAACCCCTCTGCCTGCCTGCCTGATCACCCCTAACCGCTCTCCCCTGCCGGCCTGATCGCCCCTAACCACCTCTGCCTCAGCCCCCGCCATCATGGCTTTGTCTGGAAGGATGTCTGAAAAATGTCTGGTCTATCTGGTCTAATTAGCATATTATCCTTTTATTAGTATAGATAGTGCAGATTTTATTTCAATTTTGACAGCTAGAAACCTGCTAGTTCAAGTTCCTATAATTTAAAAAAAATATTTTTGTTGATTTCAGAGAGGAAGGGAGAGGCAGAGAGAGATAGAAGCATCAATGATGAGAATCATCGATCAGCTGTCTCCTACACGGCCCTCTGTGACCTCCTGTTCACAGGTCGATGCTCAACCACTGAGCAATACCAGCTGGGCAGAATTTGAGTAGTCCTCAGCTAGCTAATTCCAAACACTGATGGACTTTTCTTCCACCTATTTTTAAAACATTTTTTGAAGCTTCAGTTTCTCTCTGCTTAAATGATGAGGCTGAATTATTTTTAAAATCTGACAAGAGTCACACACATACTGGTCATTCTTCTCCCTGCTGCTTGATACAAAATAGTTATCAAAAATAAAGTGCAGAGACCTTTCCAAGTTATTGACTAATTAAGTGTGTGCATAGAAGAAAAGACCTACCAGACTTTACATTGAATTATGAACAAAAAAATAGGTATAATTTTGATTGGTTGTAAGAAAGGACACTGGGCTGGCCGAGAACCCACGCGGAATTTGCATCTTCAGTTTGCCTCTTGAATTCTTGCCAATGGTTTCTCTGGGTTCCCTGAGTTAGAGCTGCTTCGATGTGCGCTACAATCAATACAGTGCAACATAAATGGGAAGCATGTAATAATTCCTCCTCAGTGAGTCTCATTACTCACTTCAGCATCGCATTACTTATCTCTTAGAACTGCATGGTAGAACTGTCCCAGGTGGAATAATAGAAGTCTGTCTTCATCACAGTAAATGGGAGTTGCCATTATAGCCTCCTTCCGTTCCATTTTTCTTTATTGTAGAGCGTACCTTTCCTACCTCTTCCTCTGCTATCATTGAATCATTACTGTTAATGATAAAGCAGAAATCTCTTTGAAAGCTGTTGTATTTCATAAGCCACTAGATATTTTCTTATAAGAGAGGGATGCATATAATTTTCTTTATATTCCTCTGTCTTCTTTTGAACAACAAATATGATTTCATATGTTGGAGCATTTTGTAAATTGTCAAGTATTTTGACAATATAAAGCATTATTATGTTTAGTCCCATGTGTATCCCAGTCATAGAAAGACCCTCTATCATTGCCAAAAGTAAAATATATTTCTACTTATGCATTACCATCTTGCCAGGATTTCATATGCAGGCACATATGTTTCACTCACATTTCCTAGTGAGATTCACAATATTGGCCTCTGTGTCCTTCATGTTTATTATGTTTATTGTGTGTTTATTTTTATTATCTTCTATTCTGGTGTATTAAAATTATAAACTTCAAAATGACTAAAAAACAGCACATGACTAATAATATGTCTGATGAATGAGTGACGACATAAACTAATGAAACCTTTCATGACCAAATACTGTGTTTAGACTGACTTAAGTTTTCATTCACTCAGCAGGTGTTAACTGAGCACCTATTACGGTCTTGGGCATTAAATTTCGTGTGGTTGATGTAAAGAGGCACAGCCCTCGGCTTCTTGTGCTTATCATTCTTTTCTAAGTGAGAATTTTATCAAAGCATTTTATTTCAACCTTGGTGGCCAATATTCTTTGTAACTGTATTCCTTCTACTTTCTGCACTAATCAGTGAAATATGAATGAAAGCAACATTTCTATTTCTTTCTGATGAAATCTGCAGTGCTTCAGGTCACCCCTCTGAATATCAGTTGTTACCGTCCGTGAAGGTAAAGAGGGCCCAGGAGGTCGGTCTGAGTCTGTGCGGAACCGGGACTGGTGGGTCCCAGAATTCAGAGGGGCATGTGGGCAGGGGTTAGTTCCCAGAAGGAGCTCAGCAACTGTGTCTCCAGCAAATGACTCTGTAGCAAGTAGGCTTGTTCTGGGAGACAAAGCACATGCCTAGGGTTCATGGCAAAAGAGGTCTGCAGTCCAGGTGGTCTAGTTGTGAGATGAATATAAGGATTTCTAAACAGGTTCCTTAGCATCACGGGATCCAGGGCAGGGGCGGGAGTTCCTTCAGGCAGGAAAGCTGGCATCAGCAAGAGATTCATCCATAGAAAACAGCACCCAACCCTGCGTAGAGTTGAAGATTCAGAGATGGTAACTGGGCATTGCAAGACACAAACCCGGTTAAAATAGGGAGGGGGCTAACATGAGACCACGGTCAGGAGCCCAGTTCTCAGACCCAGAACACTGTGGTGCTGAGTCAGCCAGGCGGGTTGGGAGGCCCAAGGTCTGTAGACAGAACCTGATTTGGGTCAGGATGAAGGCTGGCTCTGCAGGTGGGAA